GTCAATCAGTGTCTTAAACATAGTAACACTTCTATAATTCAGAGTGAGGTCATATAAATCAAAGCAACAATTTGAATTTTTGTGAACAATATTGTAACTTGCACAAAAATACGGCCTAACCCCAGGAGCAGGTAACCTGGGTAGGTCTGTGGAAACAAGACTGAGAAACAACGTTCTTCACTGCCCACTAGCAAAGTGGTTTCAACTCCCAGCTCCCAGCGTCTGAAAGCAACGGGGGAGAAAGGGCCGTGCTGGTCCCTGTGGCTGTGCAGACGCCTACCTGAGTCGTTACAGGGGACTGACGGTTTGGTTCACACTTTGTGATTTCAGAATTTGTCAAACACGTATTCTTTTGAATAAATGCAATACATCTAAACTTTAAAAGCAGCTGGTATTTTCCTGTTTCTTTGACAGTTTGCTTTAACATTCAGAACTCCTGAAATAGCATTCAATGTAATGTTCGCAGTGACTTTTTCATTAATGGACAGACATCCAATACCTCATCACATTTCTAATGAATTTTCCGTAGATGTTTTTAAATTTAAAAAGTACGGAGTGTTTTTGTTTTTGAGGAAAATTGCTTAATTTGGGTAAATCTATATTAATTCTGGACGAGAAGGGTGGAATTGAAATTAGAGATTAGGCTTGTATCCTGATTTCCCACTCTTGAGTGTGTATTTGATAACTGAAATGATCTTCTCTGAGTCTGTGCCCTTATGTCTGCATAATACTCATTCCATTCCCTTCCCTTCTCCCTGAAACCCTAGATGTACTCCTGGCTCTTCTGTTTTGCTAAATAGCAACCCATAAACCTGGGACTGGGTCAGAATAGGAAAGGGCACCGAAGGTTTGAAGGCCCTAAGACTTGTCTCCCGGGACCAGGTTGGTAGCTTTAAGGGCTGCTGGTAATCACAGAGATAAAGACAATCATGGAGCTTCTGTTGTTCCATCAGAACCAGACCATTTTCATGGCGTCAGTATTTGTTTTAAGCATTGAGTCCTTGACTGCAAGCAAATTTGATGTTATCAGGCACTGTCATCTTCATCCATCCATACCCTCTGATGGTCCCACATCCCAGAGCGGTACAGGAGAGGATTAAACACTGTCTGAAAACACGGAGCATGTCTGGGTATTCTCCTCCATTCTTCATCGGATTAGTGGTATTCAGCTACAGGCCTTTTGAGGGAAATGTAATATGGGATGTAGGAGAGGCCTAAGGGCTAAAGATGTTTTAAACTCACTGGTATCTAATAGATTTTATTTTATTTTTTAAAAAACAAAAATTTTAAAAACTATTTAAAGATATAATATTCAGATCAAGACATCCACCCCTCTAATTAGTCTTAGGGAAAACCTATATATCTACATGACAATCTTGTTTCACTAATCCTGGAATATTAGAGATGTAAGGGTCCTTACAAATTGGCTAGTGTTTGTACGTTTGTACTTTCTCTGTGAAAATCAAATGAAAGCTATGGGCAGCTCCCCAGAAAAATGCATATATACACATGTATGTATACTTTTTATTCCTTTTAAAGGGACTCAAGACCTGAACATTGTGGATTCTAAATTAAGAATTCTTCATTTAGTCCTACAGCCTTACTCCATAGTTGAAGATAAGGAAGCCCAGAGAGAGAATGAATGCAAAGGTATTTTCTAAAATACACATGGTTTATAGGAAAAAAACACAGCTGGACAGAAATTAAAATCTAAACTGTTAGATATCAGTGAGTTTAAAAACATCTTGAGCCCTCTCCTATGTCAAAACAAGTGGCTTATTTTTCTTCAGTTTATCAAACACGATAAAGTTTATCCTAGAATAACTAACAAAATTTACTCTTTAAATGTCAATGTATAATTTCTTTTCCTTAAAAAGTATTTTAATAGTAAATGCATTAAACTTTGAAAAGCATCAAACTTCTAACTACCCCTCTTCAGTTTATCCCTATTTATTATCTTTCCCTCAAATGGTCGTATAAGACATATATTCACTTTTTTTAATATTTATTGAAGGGGTCAAATGAGCATATAAATATATCATTCTCTTAAAAAGGGCAGTTTTGCCCTGACCGGTTTGGCTCAGCGGATAGAGTGTCGGCCTGCAGACTGAAGAGTCCCAGGTTCGATTCTAGCCAAGGGCATGTACCTTGGTTGCGGGCACATCCCCTGTGGGGGTGTGCAGGAGGCAGCTGATCGATGTTTCTAACTCTCTACCCCTCTCTTTCTCCCTTCCTCTGTAAAAAATCAATATATATATATATTTTTCAAAAGGGCAGTTTTGCATATCTTATGTGGCCCTTGTTGGCTTACAGTGGTTCTCAACCTTCTGGCCCTTTAAATATGGTTCCTCATGTGGTGACCCAACCATAAAATTATTTTCGTTGCTACTTCATAACTGTAATGTTGCCACTGTTATGAGTCGTAATGTAAATATCTGATATGCAGGATGGTCTTAGGCGACCCTGTGAAAGGGTCGTTGGACCGCCAGAGGGGGCGCGACCCACAGGTTGGAAACCGCTGGAAAAGCTGTTTTACTAAAGTAGTAGAATATCAAACATTTTAGAAATCATAAAGGTCACTGATTACCATAAATCGAGCAGTTTGACCATCACTTCAGTCAACAGGCACTAACCACCGTCCCACCAGCCGCCCTTCACTGCCTCTCCGCAAAAGTAACCTCTTCTGACCTTCGTTTTGCCTATTTTATTCCTTTACAAAAAATAGAATCACGTAGTATATTTTGTCTGACTTTTGTAAGAACCTTCCATAGGGATGGGCCCCAGCTTCTTTACTTCGGTTGCTATGTGGTATTCCATCGTATACCACCGTTTATACATTCAACTATAAGAGGGAACTGGGGTTTCTACAAACCATGATCAGTGGCCGCCCTTGTAAAGAAATCGGCGCCATAGCCCCGCGACCTCAGTTTTACACCTGTCCTCCCTTAAACCAGCCGACCCCACAGACCGCACGGCTCCCCGCGCTAACCCGCCCCTGATCGATCAGCCCGAAAAAAGCGGGGCCGCGGAGCCCGACCTACAGTTCCGCTCCGCTCCCCTCCCCGCCTCTCCCGAGCACTTCCTTTCTCCCTTCCGGAAGGTCGCAGGCCCGCCCACTTCCGCAACGCTGAGCCCGCCGCCCCTCATGCCGGGCCTCAACCAATGGCCTGCTTCCCAGGGAGCGTTACTTCTGACCTCAAAGCTAACCGGAGAGCACTGGACGAACTCCTCGCGAGAGCAGGACGGAACTCCTCGCGAGAGCTGAGGTTGAAGCTGCCTCCGCCATCTTGGAGATGGGAGACGGGGGATGGTTGTGGTCCTTCTGCTAATGCAAACAACAAAACGGGCACATTAGGCGCCCCGGACGGAGGCGATCACCACTGTGACTGTTGGCCAAAGCTACCGAAGAAGCGAGAGTGTCAAAGCCGAGAGCAGCGACATTGGTAGCCGCTTCACCTGCCTGCTGGGGCGGCAGAAGTGAGACGGCTGAGGACTGGAAGGATGGTGCAGTCCTGTTCCGCCTACGGCTGCAAGAACCGGTATCATAAGGATAAGCCTGTTTCTTTTCACAAGTAAGTACCCCTTCGCCTCCGCTCGGGCTGGGGGCGCGCGGCCGATTAGGCTCGGGGGCGGGG